AGAAACAGAATTTCTGGAGGATGAGGCCCAGGAATCAGGATTTTAAAAAGATTCCCAGGTGACTCTAATGTGCAGCCAAGGTTGAGAACCACTGCTGTGGACGGATGTGCGTTCTCGGGAACGCCATGTAAATGCAGCCGTGCGGAATGTATTGGTTTGTGTTTGCCCCCTTTCACTCAGTGGATTAGAGTCATCACGACCGTAACTGCTCTGAGTGCCCACTGCTTACCCGACAGTGTCTGCGAAATGTGCATGATTAACTCATTGCGTCTGCTCAGTAGTCTGATGAGTTGGGTGTAATTATTATGCTCACGTGTCAGGTGAGAAAACTAAGGTACAGAAAGGTTACGTAGCCCAGCCGGTGGCGTGGCTCAGTGGTTGAGCGTTGACCTAGGAACCAGGGGGTCACGATTCGATTCCCGGTCAGGGCACATGCCGGGGTTTCGAGCTCCATCCCCAGGGTGGGGCGTGCAGGAGGCAGCCCATCCATGATTCTCTCTCATCATTTGTTAGATCTATACCTAATTATTTCATGTATTTTGGTGGCGGGGTAAATACGACATGCTTTTTAAAATTTCAGTTACCGATGGTTCATTGCTGGGTTATGAAAATAGTGGATTTTTGTCACATGCGTATTTGCTTGTTTGCATTTATCTTCTTTTGCATGTGGATGACCAGGTGTTCCAGCACCATTTGTTGAAAAGGCTTAGCTTTGCTCCAGGTGGTTGCCTTTGCTCCTAAGATTCTGCACCTCATTCCGTGTGTGGGGGTTTTCCCACCCCACCGAGCAATGCTCGGGCACCGGGGAGGTGTCCAACAATTCAGCTCAATTCTGATCCATCCACACCCCTGATCGGGTGTTAATCCCACCCAGTAGGTTCTAGTTCAGTCGTCTTTTGTTTTCATCTCTAGAAGTTCTATTTGAGCCTTTTTCATAGCTTCCTCCACGTTCTGGTACATAAGGAATATAGTTATAACTGCTGCTTTAACATCCTTGTCTACTAATTCTATCATTTGTGTCATTCCTGGATCTATTACCATGGATTGATTTTTTTTTCCTCATTATGGGTCATGTTTTCCAGTTTCTTTGTGTGCCTGGTAATTTCCTACTAGATACCAAACACCGAATTTTACCTTGTTAGGGCCGGATATGTTTATAAGCCTTTAAATATTCTTGAGCTTTGTTCTTACTCCATTTTTACAGATAAGGAAACCATCACAAAGAGGTTAAGAATAGCTAGACTGCCCTAGCTGGCTTGGCTGCGAACTGAAGGGACCCAGGTTCAATTCCAGTCAAGGGCATATGCTTGGGTTGCGGGCTCCATCCCCCATAGAGTGTGTGCAGGAGGCAGCCGATCAATGATTCTCTCATCACTGATGTTTCTCTCTCTCCCTCTCCCTATCTCTCTGAAATCAATAATAATTAAAAAAGAGAGAGAGAGAGAGGGTGGCTAGACTTGTAGGCATTATGCAGGCCGAGAAAGCTGAAGGAAGTGTCCTAGCGGGAGGGAGAACAGCATTGCCAAGCGCAGGGCAATGAGAGCTGGTGGTGCGTTCAGGGAAACCTGACATGTCTGGAACACGTCGCCCGGGCGAGGAGGGGAAGCTGGGAGAGTGAGTCAGAGGGCTCCGTAGTGTTGATTGGCAGGTCATGGGGTACCAAGTCAGGTTTCTGTCTTAAGAAATATTCCTTTGGCGACGGGGTGGAGGGGGAGTTAAAGTGGGCAGCTTAGCGGGAGCTCGGGAGTCAGTTCTGAATTCTGGATTCTTGCTTTCCCCTTCCTTGTGGGTTTAGAGGAGGGGAAGCTGGGAGAGTGAGTCAGAGGGCTCCCTAGTGTTGATTGGCAGGTCATGGGGTACCAAGTCAGGTTTCTGTCTTAAGAAATATTCCTTTGGCGACGGGGTGGAGGGGGAGTTAAAGTGGGCAGCTTAGCGGGAGCTCGGGAGTCAGTTCTGAATTCTGGATTCTTGCTTTCCCCTTCCTTGTGGGTTTAGGCTGTGGATCCGTCTTGAACGTAAATGGGGACGTGGAAATGGACGCCAGTATCATGAGTGGAAAAGACCTGTCTTCGGGCGCCGTGTCTGCCGTGCGCTGTATCGCGAACCCCATCAAGCTGGCCCGGCTTGTGATGGAGAAGGTATGCGCGGCCAGAGAAGCGCCCTTTCCCTGGGGGCTGCCACGGCCCTTGGTGACCAAAGGGGGCCTGCCTGTAGGGACATACTTGAGGTCACTCTTACAACATGTGTGAAAGAAGGGAAGGAATGGCAAGTCCCTCCACGGAGCCAGGATCTGACTCCGTGGACAATGTAACTTGACCAGTGATCGCTTTGTTTCCCTGTTATGTTCCCGTGTCCAGCCTTCTCACAACACGTAGAACATAGCACATGCAAACCGAACAGACCAGCTGTTTAATAGGATGTGTTAAATAAAAACGGATCATGTTCTCTAAATGTAAGATCATATGTAGCCCTGGCCGGGTGGCTTGGTTGGTTGGAGCGTCATCCATACACCAAAATGCCAGGGTTCAAGTCCCAGTCAGGGCACAGACCTAGGTTGCAGGTTCGATCCCTGGTCGGGATGCATACGGGAGCCATCTGATTGATGTTTCTCTCTCGCATCGATGTTTCTCTCTCTCTCTCTCTCTCTCTCTCTCTCTCTGTCTCCTCCCCTTCCCTCCTCCCTCTCGTTCCCTCTCTTTTCCTCTCTCTCTAAAATGTTTCAATATATTCTCGGGTAAGGATTTTTTTTAAAAAGACCTATGTAAGTCACATCTCTAGCATTATACCATCATTTTGGTTTTTGTGGGGGGTTTTTTTAATAGAAAACTCAAAGCCAGCCTCTTCTCAACATTCAGGAAAGTGAGCCACTGAAATCTGCATTTCTGAGGTTTTGTACCCGGAGAGGAGTAATTCTCTTCACACGGTAGGAACAGCTAAAAAGATTTCAACTGTTTCAAAAACTCACCACGTTTCCATCTGCTCCAGACGCCTCACTGCTTCCTGACTGACCGGGGGGCCGCCGAGTTCGCAGCCGCCATGGGGGTCCGAGAGGTTCCTAGGGAGCAGCTGGTAACAGAGAGAAACAGAAAACGCCTCGAGAAAGAGAAGCACTGCAAAAGCGCTCCGAAGCCAGAACCCCAAAAGTAAGCGCCGTCTGTGGCTCGCGGTGGGGGGATTGCTCAGGTGTGAAAGGCGGGCAGATGTTGGATTACTTACAGTTAGTTCTTCAAGAAGTCCAGTAGCGCTCGGCTGTTTCACTCTTTGAACAGCGTAATGCACACTAGGTAACAGGAAGACTGCCCCTTTGCTTTTTAATAATAAACTTAACCTCATTGATTACTGCTACCTCGGGCCCAGTGCACAAAATTCGTGCACTGGTAGGGTCCCTCGCAGCTGCCGCCAATGGCAAGGGTGTCCCTCCCTTCCCCTGGCCACCTGCCAGCGCCAGGGCCTCCCTCCCTTCCCCCGGCCTCCCCTGGTTGAACTCCAGTCAAGGGGACAGTTTGCATACTATGCTTTTATTATATAGGATTCCTGTTCAAAACTTTTGGGGAGTTTTAAACTACCATCAAATAATATTTATAGTCCAGGAGGCATGCTCTATGTTTATCTGAGGTTTCCCTGTGGTATCTCAGTACATCATAATGGTATTTGAAAGTTTGTTGTAAGTGAGCATAATGTGGCAGGATTTTTGCTTGCAAATTGTAGGATAATAGTATCCATAATATTGCAGTAAGGATTAAATGAGGTATATTTAGCACACAGTCAATGTTTATAAAAATTAAGTTCTGGTTATTACTTTCATTTGGTGCCTAACAGGTGGTATACCATATAAAATGAAACATGGAACTAAAGGATTTTTTTTTTAGGAAAGGTTGACTGTACTAGGGGAGCATGCATTTAATTATATTACAGGGGTCCTCAAACTTTTTAAACAGGGGGCCAGTTCACTGTCCCTCAGACCGTTGGAGGGCCAGACTATAGTTTAAAAAAAAACTATGAACAAATTCCTATGCACACTGC